CTCGAAAAACAATAACAACAAAAACGGGCCAAAACTATCAACAGCATTCAACACAATACAGTTTTTGACCGTAAAAAAATAACATTATCTTTATCAACATCACAATATTTTACTGCTATTTTTTTTTCGTAAAACTGATTTTAATTTTAAGGAATATTTTTTTCCCCTAAGGTACGAATAATAGCTTGTAAAATCGTTAAAAAAAAACCCATAAATTATACTTTTTCGTATAGTTCTGTACAACAAACAAACTATGTAATGTTATCATCAAAAATCTGTGTTTTTACAATTTTTTACAACGACTATAAAATTACTGTTTTACTTTCAATCCACTTATAAATAAATAAATATTATTTTTAAAACACTTCCACTGTTTATGAATGAAAAAAATAGTCAACTTTTTTTTTTTTTTTTTTACATCTTTAAATGTATATACAAAATTGTAATTTACAATATATTCATTTGAGTGTGAATGTGAGAGTCCTATCTTGTCTTTTTCTGTTTTGTTTTTATTTAAAAAAATATTGTGTTCTGCTCTCTATGTGCCACTGCAGCACTGCCTTTTCCCTTAGTGGTAATTGTCTGTCTGTCCGTCTGTAGTAACCAGATTCTGCATTAGGCTAACATAGGATGTACAAATGCAATATTAATATGCTGCATACAGTCCACTTTAACGCATCAGTGGTTGTAAACCAGCAATATAACCCGGATGGAGGCCACTGGTCCATTTTTACGACTAGTCGCCATTTTATGAGTATTTTTTACTTTTGATTACTTTGTTATTGCAAATCCTTTTATACTTTCACCCAGTTTAATCAATTAAAGCAGAGATTTTACTCATCGGGGAGTATTTTCAGTATTGTTCTTGGATGTCAAAACTTTTCCACCAGTGATCAGATACAACTGGTTCTGTGAAAGCAATGAAATGTACCACTTGTCTATGCTAAGTGCTGCATTCAATACTGGTTATAAAAATGGAGGAAGACGTCAGAGGTATTTCTTAAATAAAAAGCAGAGAGCAAAAATCTTTCATGTACAAGAAAATACAGGATCAAGGATCGACAGTAACCTGAGTGTGGGGAGGAGGAGTCCACACAGTCACCGGAGATCAATAGATATTATATTAGAGCTCCTTAAAACCTGTTAATCTGTCCTGTAACGATGCATCATTCTTGATAACAACATATAAATAATGGTTGTTTTTGTATCACGAAGCACACAAAGAAAAAACTAAAATACCTTAAAAGGACAATAAAGTGCAGTACTTACTTTCCACACTGCTCTAGGATATAAGATGTGTGTTTCTGCTCTTTCTTCTGTGATCAAAGTGCCTTTAATGGCATTTCAGGACTTTTTAATGTAAATATTCAGGCTCAATTTAATCTCCTTGAAGGACAGCAAATGTATTATCATAGCTTTCCCTCTCCACATGGAGGCAGTGTTGCACCAAATGTGAAAACGGAGGATTCACAGGGAGCTCAAATAATCGTATTTGAATCAGCAAAAGCAAGTGTTTTGACTGTATTTGTTTTGTCTGGTTGTAAGATTCAAGCTTTTTACCCACTGATGTGCTGAGATCACAGCTGCAGTGTGTTTTTTTATTCACTCAAATGTGGGATCTAAAACTTTTTGTAAGGTCTTTGCTTTACTCTGTGAAGGGGCCTTGAAACGACTCGTGTTATGAATTGGCACCATATAAACAAACTAAACTGAATTGATTTGAATTAAATAAAGTCGTGCAAAGCCAGTAGATTAGGCTGTGGATCAAATACAGACATAAATCTCCAAGAAAGTTCAAATTTAAAGCCCTAAAAATGAACCAAAAATCAGCCAGAGTGGAGTTTTGTATAAATATTTAATTGAGAACAGAGTATTTACTGTATGTACATGCAACACAATATGAATGTACAATAGAAATAATCCCATGTGGATGCTACGACGGTTCTGTAACGTTTTGGAGTAACACCATACAGTATAACAAGCATTAAAATACACGTGGTGGGGAAATTAAATCATCATTTCAAACGGTCTCAAACCGTCCGACAGAGAAACGCTTGTGAAAGTTGGATCCGCGGCGTTTCTTTCCCACAATGCTCGACAAACACATCTATATTTGAAAAACCCCCAGTTCCCTTTTAAGTACGTCATTAAATATGCAATGATTTTCTATGCTTTAAGGTGAATTTCGGTGCCTGTGTTTTTCATTATCATGCACTCAATGGAGCCGAACGGAGCCGCTGTGTGCGTCGCATTAGGTGTCAGTGGTGGGTGGCTGATCACAGGACACACAGGATGACTGTTGTTGTTGTTCCAGATGAAGCAGAAATGGTTAAATTACTCACCCTGTCAGCAAGAAAGTGTAAAAAAAAAACAAAGGAGAAAAAGAAGCTTTGGTCATGCACAGTTGAAGCAATTGAAAATGTGCAAATATCTGAAGGAAGATGCATTCAGGTGGATGGAAAACAGGCAACTAAGTGATAGAAGGGGTAAAAAAAAAAAAAAACTGCATTATTCACATCATCGCTCGATTTTTGGTCCTTCATCACATTTTCAATGCATGTGGAGCGACTGCAGCTGGTCTTCTCTTTGTTTTGGGACGTCCAGGGCAAACAGTAAATAAATACCATGGATATTTCAGTGCTGCTCGACTGGAGCACTGCGAGCTGTTTGAAATGTACATTATTGATCGCAATGCACATGTTTTGGTTGTGTGGGTAACATAAGGAGACAAATACCAAGGCAACGACATCAAGAGTTCCACTGTCATATTTGAGTACGACCAATAAACATTTAGTTATTGGATGCTTGATAGCTTGCCACATGCGATGGCGCCATGTTTTGGTTTTTTTTTTCTTCCTTTTTGTTGCTTTTATTTTAGAAAAAAACACACACATACTGTATATGGAGAAGTTTTACTAAAACATACAGTTTTCCTCATTTAGCTGTAGGACAATCCTTTGTTATTCCCACGTTTCTCTAATCTAACAGATCATCTTCGTGCCATGAATTATGCATTTGGCCTAAAGATAAGGCATCACAGCTGCGTCTGGGGCTTTGGTCCTGCTTCTCAGAGCTTCTTTCCTTCTGTCTTTTTTTGTTTTTTCTCTCTTCCCCTCTACTGCTGCTGCTGCCTGCTTCTTGTTCTGTCTGCGTAATATCATCAGGGGAAGTCGATATTCACGATGAATGATTGTCTGCTCTGCTGGTGAATACAGGTGTGATTCCTTCCCTAAATCACCTCGATGTACCGAATGGGATAAAACATACAAACTATGTAAACAAATGTGCAAGCAAAAGTGCAGACGAGAAAGTTTCCTCTTAAAGTGACTTCAAGGTTGCAATGTAAAGACGAGATGTTTGCTTCTCAGCAAATGCTTTTGTCTGGATTGCATCAAGGGGCAGCAGAATCTTTTTCACTAAGGTGACTTAAAAAAAGACCTTCTTATCGAATGCAACACGATTTCTTTATCATTCCTTTTGTTCTCGGTGCTCTCAGTCTGTGAATACAAAAAGAAAACCATACGATTGTCCCAGCGGTCATCATGCCCTCTTCCCAGAGTCTTGCTCCGGGAAGTCCCAGGGACAAACATCAACCATTTTTGCAGGTTTGTAACTAGTACTCAAAGAGCCCTCCTTCTTCTTCTCTGGTGATTTTTTAGTCTGAGCCAAGCCGGTGTGTGAGTGCTCGGCTTCCCGGGAGAAAACCTCGGCCCTCCTGATCTCCATCAGCTCCGGGTCTCTGGTGGAGCTCCTCCGCCGCTCGGACGGCAGCCCGCTGCACTCCGACGACTGGCTGACCCGCCTCCTCTCCGACGGCGGCTTGCTGGAGGAGCTCCGCCTTTCTTTGCTCTTCTCCCTCCCCTTCTCCTTCTCGGCTTTGTGGTTGGACGAGCAGGAGCCTTTCCGTTTCTTCTTGTGCGCCGTGGGGCTGCTGCAGATCTTCTCCTGCTTGGGCGACGGCGGGCTGCTGTAATCCCACGGGCAGATCTCCACCATCAGAGACGGAGGCTGCAGCAGGCTCCCCGTGGACTTGGAGTGATCCGAGTGGAGCCCTTTGGGTTTCCCGTCAGTGGGGGTGACGCTTTTTTTACGCCGGATTCTGTCTGGAGAGAGGGAATCTGAATCTCCCCCCACCATGGGTTGCTCATCGAACTCCCAGGGACACACGTCGGGCTTGAGAGGCAGCGGCGACCTCGGAGGCCGAGACTTCCGAGGTTCCCTTCCTTCGTCCCTGTCGCCTCCTTTGTCTTTGGAGCGCCGTCTGTTGGCAGGAGACTGGCCGGCTTTCTGCCTCTGCTGGGATCGGCTGCCTTTGCTGATTCCGGAGCTGCTGCTGCCTCTGCGGCCTCCAGCGGTGGTTTCTCCAGGAGCGATGGAAACGTGCTTCTGGGTTTTCGTTTCAGAGGGAGTCTGAGCTTCCTCCAGCTCCCAGGGACAAACCTCGGACACATCGTACAGGTTCCTCCCGGTCTCAGAGCAAATGGACGGCTGGCTGCCACTCACCTGGAATCAAACAATATGATAAACACTAAATCAATCAATAAATCAGAGTATTAATGACAGGGTTACCACAACAACCTCTTCCAGACTTCTTTGTAGATTTTTTAGACCATATTTAAGCACAAACATTGAGGTGTTTATCTTACATTCTGACTATGTATACTATTTCTGTTGCCAAAAAATGCTAGAAAATGGCAGCTGTAGCTCATACAAATCATCCATCCATC